AAACCTCCCCTGCAAAACACGGTCAGGAAAACTGAAATGCATGAGAATGGATTCCTTCTCAAAGGGATGAGACTCCGCTCTCTGTTACCTGGGAGGCCGGGATTAACCCTGGGTAATCAGCCGTAATGGCCACCAAGGTATTGTCCTTGCTTAACTGATGAAACACCCCGTCAATCAACTCCACCGATATATCCGGATCCTCTTCGGAGTCCGGATCGAGGGACCGTTCTGGATCCTCGGGCTGTGGGGGACGGCTGTTTATATCCTTTACTTCCTGACGCAGTTCCTGCGGTGAAATCGTTGGACTGCATATTTAATCATGGGAATATAAAGCGGATGGGCAGGCACAATTGTTCACTTACCCAACTCAGGGGGTTGTACATACTAAATCCGCCCTGCGGGTTAACGCGGAGGAATTCCTCCTCTTCTCCCTTGTACAAAGAGGATAAGATCTTTACTAGAGCGGCAGCTGAGGCTGGCCCCTTACGACCGTAACGGGTGGTGTCATCCTCCCCGTTAAAATCCCACATGGGGTGGCCTCTATATTGAAGCGGCTGCACCCCCCGCATAATGCATGCGGCCATGACTCCGATCATGGTTAGTCCGGAATGAGCCAATAGTCTTATCCGGCCCATCAGGTGAAGGATGTCCCTGTCGCTTTCTCTCTGAGAGCTCCGCGGACGCCAGCTTAGGCGTTTCTTTAAGGGAGCACTGTTGAATTCGGGGAGACCGACCCGGATAGGGTCCGGTAGCGGGACATCATCTATATAAAACCATTCCGAAGGCCAGTCCTCGGACGCCTTCTTTGGGGTTCCGGATAGATATCCGGTCCCGGCGATACACCACACTTCGGCTCCGCCCACTTGATATATAGACCCCTCTTGAGAGCGGGGCACCAGACAGAATAATCTCTTCCGCAGCGCGAAATGAGCCTCAACACCCAAGGATAGCTCGCAAAGAGCGACGAAGCCCGCGATATGCAATATAGAGGCGGGCGTGAGATCGTGTAGCTGGAGGCCGTAGAACTCCAGAAGCCCACGGAGAAATGGATGGATTGGAAATCCAAGTCCTCTTACTAGATAAGGGACAAGGCACACCCGCTCTCCTTTGGAGGGACAGGGGGTGCTCTCCGCTTGCTCTCCACCATTATAGGTGGCGAGTCCGGCTTGGACCGGGACCATATAGGCCTGGGGGAGAAATCCCTTAGCCTGAAGCGACACTAGCTCGCTGTGCGGGATGGAGCACCTCTCCCAGTCTCCAGGTTTAGGACTGGAAGGGCGAGAGGAGGAGCTGCGACGGCTGGCCATGTTGTAATGAACCTTTGCTGGAGGCGCTCTGATGATTACTCGCGGAGAGGAGAAGGTGTGGTTTGGATCTGAATCCCCATCCCATTAAATAGGTGGCTCGTTTATGCGGCTAGGGGTGTGGATGTAAAAACACCCTGACTTTTCACATTCGTTTGACACGTGGAAGACGGCCATTATTGGGCGTGGAAGCCAAGGTGTGCTACATTACGAAAATCGGACATTATTCAGCAGGTACACGGAATTTGGAGGAGAACCCGCCTTGCAATGCCGAAGACAATCTGCGCACCGGACTCATCGTCATTGAAGCCTGGTTCGGGGGCTATTGAGGGAGTCCTGGATTAGGGGGTGTCCGGGTAGCCGGACTATACCTTCAGCCGAACTCCAGGACTATGAAGATACAAGATTGAAGACTCCGTCCCGTGTCCGGATGGGACTTTCCTTGGCGTGGAAGGCAAGCTTGGCGATGCGGATATTCAAGATCTCCTACCATTGTAACCGACTTTGTGTAACCCTAGCCCTCTCCGGTGTCTATATAAACCGGAGGGGTTTAGTCCATAGGACAACTTCATCATACAATAATCATACCATAGGCTAGCTTTTAGGGTTTAGCCTCCTTGATCTCGTGGTAGATCTACTCTTGTACTACCCATATCATCAATATTAATCAAGCAGGACGTAGGGTTTTACCTCCATCGAGAGGGCCCGAACCTGGGTAAAACATTGTGTCCCTTGTCTCCTGTTACCATCCGGACTAGACGCACAGTTCAGGACCCCCTACCCGAGATCCGCCGGTTTTGACACCGACAGGCCCCGACTGTTACTTTGTGGCGGAGCGACAGGGCAGGTTGAGACCACCTAGGAGAGAGGTGGGCCTGGCCCTGGTCGGTGTTCACGGTTATTTCAAGATAACACATTTAACGAGATCTTGGTATTTGATCTGAGTCTGGCCACTGGCCTATACACACTAACCATCTATGTGGGGACAGTTATGGGCACTCGATGTCGTGGTATCAGCCGAAGCCTTCGTGACGTCAGCGACTGAGCGGCGCGCGCCGATTGGACTGGAATGCCTGCTAGGCTAGGTCTGCTTCCGGCTGCATTCGCAACGTGCAGGTGTGCAAAGGGCGATGGGCCCAGACCCCTGCGCCATAGGATTTAGACCGGTGTACCGACCTCTCTGTTGTGCCTAGGTAGGGCTGCGACGTGTTGATCTTCCGAGGCCGGACATGACCCAGAAAAGTGTGTCCGGCCAAATGGGATCGAGCGTGTTGGGTTATGTGGTGCACCCCTGCAGGGAAGTTAATCTATTCGAATAGCCGTGATCTTCGGTAACAGGACGACTTGGAGTTATACCTTGACCTTATGACAACTAGAATAGGATACTTAATAAAACACACCCTTCCAAGTGCGAGATACAACCGGTGATCGCTCTCTCACAGGGCGACGAGCGGAGGATCATCGGTTAGGATTATGCTATACGATGCTACTTGGTGAACTTACCATCTACTCTCTTCTCCTGCTGCAAGATGGAGGTGGCCAGAAGCGTAGTCTTCGATAAGACTAGCTATCCCTCTCTTATTCCGGCATTCTGCAGTTCAGTCCACATATGATAGCCTTATTCCATTTGATATCAATGCATACATATGTAGCGTAGCTCCTTGCTTGCGAGTACTTTGGATGAGTACTCACGGCTGCTTTTCTCCCCCTTTTTCCCCTTTCCTATATCTGATTGCTGCGATCAGATGTTGGAGCCCAGGAGCCAGACGCCACCGTTGACGACGACTACTACTACTCGGGAGGTGCCTACTACTACGTGCAGCCCGCTGACGACGACCAGGAGTAGTTTAGGAGGATCCCAGACAGGAGGCCTGCGCCTCTTTCGGTCTATATCCCAGTTTGTGCTAGCCTTTTTAAGGCAAACTTGTTTACTTATGTCTGTACTCAGATATTGTTGCTTCCGCTGACTCGTCTATGATCGAGCTCTTGTATTCGAGCCATCGAGGCCCCTGGCTTGTAATATGATGCTTGTATGACTTATTTTATTTATAGAGTTGTGTTGTGATATCTTCCCGTGAGTCCCTGATCTTGATCGTACACGTTTGCGTGTATGATTAGTGTACGGTCAAATCGGGGGTGTCACAAGGAAACTTGACCATCTTTGATTAACGAGCTAGTCAAGTAGAGGCATACTAGGGACACTCTGTTTTTGTCTATGTATTCACACATGTACTAAGTTTCCGGTTAATGCAATTCTAGCATGAATAATAAACATTTACCATGATATAAGAAAATATAAATAACAACTTTATTATTGCCTCTAGGGCATATTTCCTTCATCTGGACCATTGATGTCATGGAGATTCAAACTCCCCTTGTATGTAGCATATGTATTGGGCAGAAGCTTGTATGTGTGGGATCAATGTTTGTGTGTGTGTGGGGGGGGGGGGGTCGAATATTTTGAGCAATAAGTTACAGAACTTACTAAAGAAATTTAAATTTTAGAGCAAAATTTATCGTATTGGGAAGAAGCATATACATGTGGGTTCCATCATGTTTGGGGGAGATGGAGATATATTCATGGACAAGTTAACAAACTCACAAAAAATATTTCAAAGCAGTTTTTGTTGTTAAGCATCTGAGTTTCGGATACCTTACCATTCGTCATTTTCAAAGCATATATGCATAGCAGGTTAACTCGATCAAGGGTAGAGCTAGGGCCGAGCCTGGGATTTCTTCAGTTATTACCTTTATTCATTTGGCTTGGCCATACTTCCTGAAGTTTTCCTTGAGTTTCTTCATGTAGGCCTCTTGCTCTTGTGGCTCACATACTCTTCATGTTATATTAACATGCATGTCCATTCACAAGCAAAACATGGCATCAAGCACCTTCAACACCTTGTGTTCATTCTTCTTTGTTCTTTGATGACCTGTAAGTGCACATGGCTGTTGTAGCACTATCGTGATATGTGAAGTGTCCAACCCACATGGAGCGAATGCGAAGGCACCACAAACTCGGCAACTACGTCTTCACTTAACGCAGTTTTGTAGGCACTCAAACCAGAGTTTCAAAATAGTCTACTTCAGCCAGTATGCAGGAACACAAATAAAGAAGGGTGTTTACTAAACTAAGAACGGAAATAAAGACAGAAAATTAGAGAGACTAAACTACTTTAAATGGTGCTTGAGTAGTAAATGTTCTCGAGGGATTCAAAGTCATCCCCGCAAGTATGATGCTGACAACACATGATAGACATGGCTCTATATTGTATCACTATGCCACTTTATATGATCTCACATGGGGGAGCCAATAAAGCACTCATCCCCACACCGGTTACTGCGTACCCTCGTGCCACCACCGTGCTTCCCCGGTTATTAAAGGGGAGGGGGGAGGGGGGGGCTCCCTGTGGTCACGACATTAAGTTAGGTGCTAATCCCTGGTGCGATGATCAGGGACAAAGGGAGTTGGGCGAAAGTAGAAGGAAAAGAACACATGACACATGTGGTAAATAATCCAAATAATTAAAAAAAATATACGGAAAAGCTGAGGATTCATGTGATTTTGAGTGTTTCGTCTCCGAATTCATCTCTGTTCTCCGAATTCCCTGGCCCCTCCTCCCCCTTCTACACCACCAGCAGTCTTGACTCTTGATCGTCTTCGACTTGCCACCTCCGGGGTAACCTAATTCCCGAATCATGCCTCTGCCGCCGTCCAGATCCATGGTCCTCTCCCCGATCTCCTTCCGCCTCCCCATCCCGATGGACCCGTACGTCGCCGGCGGCACCACCCGACATTCCGGCCGCCCCGATTGGGTCTTACTCCACAAGTCGGCGCGTATCTCGGGACACCGGAACTCGACCATCTCCGGCTGCCACACGATGGAGGGCCACCCCATCGAGGTTTCCTTCTGGCTCGTCGACCCGCCGGGAGTCTCCTACTTCTCCGTCCACTGCCCCGGCCTCAACAAGGACTTCCACGACGAGCCCTACATCATCTGCGCCGAGGCCGCCCTTGTCCTCTTCAGCGTGGCCTTTGTCCCCGTCCCTGGCCGGAGATCCATCCAGCACTTCGTCTACAGAGCCGGCCCGGGGGCGCCGGCGCTGGAGCTGATCCCGGACCCGGACAAGATCAGAAGAGGCGATCGATTTGGCCTCTTGCCCTGCGGTGATTCCGAGCACTATGCCTTGGTCTTCCTCAATAGAAAATTTGCCTACAATAAGCCTTGCCGTTTCGACCTCCACATCTTCTCGTCGGCGACGCAGGCGTGGAGCAGCAAGGTGCCCTCGTCTTGCTTATCGGAAGATGATCAGGCATTGCTGCTCAACCATGGCACCTGCAAGTCGGTCATGGTCGGAGATGGCTCGCTGGGCTGGGTTGATCTCTTCAGCGGCATCCTCCTCCTGTGCGATGTGTTTGGTGAGTGTCCTGTGGTCAGGTACATCACCTTGCCCGCTTCAAGGACTCGCCAGACGGACGAGCGCGGCCTCCCTTACTTTGCCTCGGAGTACTGCTGCAACGTGTCCTGCCGCGACGACGGTGCGATCAAGTTTGTCGAGATAGAGTTCGATGATCCGGATCGCAGGAACAGAGGCAACCAAGGCTGGAGAGCCATCATATGGGACAGGACGGTGACTTCGGATGGTTGGAGCCAGCGCTTCAGAGTTGATGCTGCTAACATTTCAGTAGACCCAAGTTATTCTGATTTACTGCCTGAGCTGTGGAATGGCAAGACTGGAGAACCAGAACTGAAGAGACTGATTTTCTATACCCCCACGCTGAGCAAGCACGACGACGATCTTCTGTACATGATGTCTAAGGTGAACAAGGAAGACGACAAGGCCTGGGTCATCACCGTCGACATGAAACGCGAGGCCGTGGAGGCAATCGCCCCGTATTCTACCAAAGGGCGCCAACTCACTTCATGGCACTGTCCATGCACCTTTCCCAAGTACATCGACCCGACGACCTCAGGTGAAGTCATGCTCTCCCTTCTTTCTCTTCGTTATCTGTTGGTTAATTACATGTGCTCACTTCATTATGGACAATATTGACAGTGAACCAATTTTTGCAGGGGATCACGTGGCCATGCACTCTAAGAGGTAATTCATATATTCCTGCATCCAGTTTTTTTGTATGTATTTGATGTTTGCTTTGTGTGACATCTTGTTGATTCCGTCTGCTGCTGTTGATGCTACTTATATATGTTGGATGCTTCTTGCCAGGATTAGTGCGGCGGACTGTGTTCTGCAGGTGCTGTTGAGTCGAGACTGGTTCAGAGAAATAGGTAACTGATTAATTCACCATTGATGCACTAGCTTTTTACTGGCTTTGATTGTAATATACACACCCTACGTTTCAAAATATTAGAAGTCCTGGGCTTGTCCTAAGTCAAAATTCCTTAAGTTTGACCAAGTTTATGGAAAAAAACTACTACCCGCAACATCAAGTATATATAGTATGAAAAATATATTTCATGATGAATCTAATGAAACTAATTTGGTATTGTAGATGTTGCTATATTTTTCTAGTCAAACTTAAAGAAGTTGGACTTAAGACGAACCTAAAACTTCAAATATTTTTTAACAGAGGGAGTATATGTGCAAGTGCAGATGAAACCAACATTTGGCAAGTGGATTTTTAGTCTTGATTTAGAATTAATCTTACACCAACTGCAAATGTTTTCTCAATTTATTCTGCAGCATTACCCTGAATGTTTGTTCTGTGATTTCACCCTTCAATTGTGTGTTCTACTTTCACAATGTAAATGTTAATCAAGTACAGCTCTTGAAGTATTATCAAAGGATTGTTCGCTAACCATTACCCTGAATGTTTGTTATGTGATTTCACCCTTCATTAGTAAATGTTAATCAAGTATAGCTCTTGAAGTCCAAAGTTACTGTGAATTATTGAATTAACTGTCATGCAAGAAGATTCACAAATGTATGATCCTTTTGTAGATGAGCGCTTGGAAATTGAGATGCCAACTTACCATGAGTGTGTATCACTACTTGACTGTTGCCCAGCATCATCTGTGCTTTTAGATATCCAAGAAGTAAGTTATGTTCCTGTGTCTTTCAGAATTAGTCAACAGTTATCAGTGCATCATATTCTTTTTGCTAACCATCTGTCATTAAATATTTTTATTTGTTTCTGCAAACCATGCGGGCATTTTAGCCTCCACAAGCTTGAAATGCTCTATTGTCTCTTAAACCATGCACATAGCCGTTGGAAGTGTATCTTTATTCCCATGCATGGTGCCATAGCTTGATTCCAAATCCGGATCCTAATTTACTTCTTTTTTTATGCAGGTGGTAAAATATGCTTCCTCTACTGATCAAGGCAAAGCCGCTCCACAAGCTGTGGAATCTTGCTCACGGTAATACAGTACCCAAGGAAACATTCTGAAACGCACTTTGTTTGTGGAATTAACTTAGTGATGTAGTATATATGACTGACCATAATGCCTGTTGTTTCCCAGTGCCTTGGAAGAATTCGAGGCGCTAGTACGTGGGTCAGTGCGTGATCCATCGTCGTCGTCCACCGAAGGCATGAGGAGCAAAATCAGTGTCGCTCTTCGAGCCTTAGACAAGTTAGAAAATGAAACTCCTTTCTGTAGTAGTTTCTTGTATCAAAAGAACGGAATCATACCATATTTACTGATGGTGCATTTTGCTTCTTTTCAGCATCTTGGACATCGTGCCGCCGACCTTGAGAGCGCTTGCGGATGCCTGCCACCAAAAAGGAGGGAAGACAATATTTGATCTTGTTGAGCAAGCAAGTGATGATACAGAGGAGTGCAAACTGGAGGGCTCTCCTGATGCTGACAACCTTTCCCACGGCGAGAACAAGACGATGGTCTATGCGATGGGCAGATCTTGCGAGGTGCAGCAGGGGCGACCCCGTCAGCGAAGGAGGCAGAACCAGGCACGGGGCCAGGAAGAACGAGCGGTGGTTCCAAATCGCCGCCAACTGGAGCAGTATGTGATGATGATTTTCTTGTGCCTGCTCTTCTTTGCCTACATATGGGCGCCGATCGATATGAGGTTGTTAGGCCATTGCCCTTTAGCATCCTATTAGTAGTAGAACTTATATATTTTGTTTACATGTGCACAATATCGTCCTATCCTCATTATGTAAAAGCATAGGCCTGTAGAGGTCTGGACGTACAATTTACAAGCACGTATATATCAGTGGTACGTCCCCAGGCTTCCTTGTTTCTCTACGAAATGTGGCATTTTCCAGCTGATATGCAGCAAACTGCCTTTTCTACCTTATGTTTTTTGCTATATTTTCTCACCATTTAATGATTTATTTTCTTGTTAGGTTTTTAGAAATATTGCAACTTTTTTTAAAGAATATGAACATATATCTAGATCTGCATGAACAACTTTTTGAAATACATGAACTTATATAATCCATGAACACTTTTACAAAAAACACAAATATATTTTCTAAACACAAAGGAACATTTCACCTCAAATCTATGAGGAGGCACGTGTACATTTTGGTAACATAAGATTTTTCCATTGGTAAACTGATCCTGACAATATGGTCATCCAGCATTGGAGATCAATTCCCTGAGAGAGAATCGGGTGCTTATTCCACAAAATCTTCATCGTAGTCAGAACAAAGTAGCAAATTGTTTGGCAAGATACAACCTAGGGGTACAGCGCGTAGCACAGCTGTATGGCTACATAGAAGGCTCCCATGTAATGAGGAATTTTTGGCTCTTGACTATAACTCTATAATCCTGAAATAAAACATTATTACCCTCGCAAAAAAGACAATATTTTATGAAAATCTATAAATTAAAATAAACATTTTTACAATCATAAAATAAGAAAGAACTTAACTTGTTGTGCTTTGGACGGCCCATATGCAAAGCTTCGGGCGATTGGGCGACAATTTATGGCTTAACCCGTCAAATCAAAGAACTCCGGGCGTTACTCTGTCTCGCTCACAGCGAGACCTAGCTTACGCGTGCGTCGGATGCACCGGTGGACCGGCTTTTTCAGCCACGTGTAATGGGACAGCCCAACATTTAGGTTAGTTCCTTTCTTAATGTTTCTTCATTCTTTCGTTTCTTTTTGTTTCTCTTTTGTTTATTTTTTTTGTTGGCATAGCTCAATTTTTAGATAGCTTTTTAAAAAATTGGCCGTGACATTAAAAAAATGTTAATGGGTTTCAAAAACATGTAATGGAATTATTTCAATAAACAATTATACAATGTGAAAATCCATGTAATGCAAAATAATTTTAAAGTTGTATAAAAAAGTTTGCATCTACAAGAAAAATGTAGAATGTGTACGAAAAAAAGTAGACATGAAAGCATATTCTTAAAAGTTTGTTAATCGCATATATGAAAATAGTTAAACATGTATAAAAATGTTTTAGATGTGTACCAAAAATGTACAATGTGTATGAAAACAATAGAAATCAAAATGTATATCCGACAAAAGATTAATCAAGTATTTGAATTTTTTGAACGAGTATAAAATAATGCTAAACATGTATAAACAATATTTCAGATGTACAAGAAAAAGGTATGAAAAAGAGTACACTTCATAATATACATTTACAAAATATATTAATCATGTATATGAAAAGATTGATAAACCGTATAAAAATATCTTAGATAAACTAAAAATGTACAATGTGTATGAAAGCAACAGACATCAAAAAATATATTATACAAAAAAAACTAATCATGTATTTCAAAATAGGTAAATGTGTATTAAAAATGTTCTTGGTGTATAAGAAAATGTACAATGAGTAAAAAAATGTAGACACGTGTTAAAAAATAAAAATGGAAAAGAAGAAGAAAACTAAGAACAAACAAAGAAACAAAGAAAACAAATAGGGAAAGAAAAATAACATAAGAGAATAAGATCAAAACAAAAGAAATGAAGAAAACAAGAAAATAGAGAAAAAACAGAAAAACCAAAGACAAAAAATTGAAAGCCGAGAAAAAAATGAAGAAACCCATAGCAAAAACAAAGGAAAATTGAAAACAAACAAAACAGAGAACAAACAAATGAAAAAAGTTGAAAACCATCACAAAAACGATGTAGAATAGCCAAAGATAAAAGCAAAGAAAAAACGATAAAGAAGGAAACAGGAAATGCGGTAAAAACATAAGAAAGTGAAAAATAGGAAGAAACCGAAACAAAATAGCAGTGACCGAACGAAACACGTGACCGAGAAAACAACAACGACCGTACGTTCACCTAAAAAACAACGACCGTACGAAATGCACGACCGAGAAAACATCAGCGACCAAACGAACGTACCGGGCTAACTGTTATGTAGCCACTCACGAATCACTCGAATTACTCCATTACAGGAAGTTCAAGCTCAGCTACAAGAGGTTGAGGAGGAGGGAGAGTACAGGAGGTAGGAGATGACAGGGAAAAGAGGAAGCCGCCGTTGCCGTTCGTGATCCAAGCCCGGATGCCCGTTCGCTGCGTCTTGGCTGGGTACTTGTAGTCTGCCTGCCCTAGGAGTAACAACTTGTCCGGCCCGGCCCATATGTTGATGGGCTCGCTGCCTTGGCTCTCCAGTTTGTGTTGCCGTCGGTTTCGCTGCCATGGCAGCAGTTTGGGCTGCCATGGTAGCGCCTTTAGTTGATGTGGCCGCGGCGGTACTTTGGGTCGCTGACATCCCCTCCTCCTTAACAACCGGCTTGCCCTCAAGCCGGTGCCAGTTAGCCGCTAGTTCCTCGAAGTTTGTGTCTTGCAGATGCAATTTGAGCATATGTGAGGTGCCATCAGCTAGCCAGGAAGGAGAACAGGAGTCTTGAAGTTCTGTATATCTGCCGAGCCGGTGCCTGTTCACCGCTAGTTCAACAAAATCAAATCCTCCTGGATCCCACTGCACACATGAAGTTGCTGATTGAACTGATTGTATGAATTGCCACCTCACGATAAAAGTTGCGATGTAATCTTCAGTTATGGGTCTCATTGCACGCAAACCACCGCAGATAGTAGAGCTCTCAGAAATACATGGCAACCCTTCTTGTAACTTTTCGGCAATGATATGGGCCAACCAAAACAGAGTAGTCATGGGACCTGGTCCCCAAGAGAAGCACCGCCAATAGCTTGACAAGGTACTGACATGATGAGTAAAGGGCCAAGATTGAGTCAATTCCCAAAGAACACCAGTGAGACGCAGAAACTCTGAATTAGTTCGCATATAGCTTCTGAATTCTGTAGGAATTTTTGGTGGGAAAAGAGGTGACCATGGGGGTTTGGGTTGCAGCATGGGAAAATGTCCTGCCGGTTGTGTGATAAGTAATTCCAACTCCATCAGCAGGGTCCTACTGTCGACCAATGGGATGCCCAAACATATGTAACCGGTGGAAGTGAATTTGTTGCTGTTATGTAGGACCGAAGCAAAGATACGACGATTTGCAGTCTCTGAATTATGCTTGTCCAAGTTGTGGTCAGCAGGACTGAATTTAGAACAAGAAGTCTGATGTAGTATGTGCAGCAAGAGCTTGAATATACTCTCAACGCCAAAGTTATAGTCTTGTTGCTGAGCAAGTGGGCTCGTAAGAGCACTTGTTGATATACTAGAATTCACCTTGGGCTGGTCACGAACACAGGGAGCGCAATAGCACAAATAATCGCTTTGAATAAAATCAGAAGCGACCGAACGAGCATACTCAAGCACTTGCGGCTCATTCAAAATCTTGGCTATTTGAGGGCACGATTTGGCGTTGCAACGGAACTGCAGCCTATCAATATGCTCCACCGTCGAATATACCAAAACAACCAAGAGGTTGACATGTTGTTTATGATGGCCCTCTGAATTCCATTGCTTGTCACTTGCATCCCAGGGGTGACAAAAAGCGTGAAACAAAGGTTCGGACCACATCTGACCAAGCACCTCTTCTTTAGTTCTTGGAGCCCACAACCTCTTAAACTGAGTGAAGAAATGCCAATGACAACAATAACTAGTGGCACTGGCTGCACATGAATTCATATATTCTGGAACCGAGTTTGCTGGCTGTACATACTGAACAACCGATGATTGCAAAATTTTTGAATTAATTTCTTCAAGAGTTATGTGATACTCTAGGTATCCCTTGTCCAACAATAATTGAAAGGGCTTGATTGACAGAAATTTTGCACACCAGGGCAGAAATAGGATCACCAGGCAAGAGTTATCAATTGACAGCTGAACACTTGAAGTATCTTGAGCAGACAAGTTCTTTTCTTTTCTTGGTGGCGCTTTAGACATGATATCCAGAACTTCTATAACATCTTTAAAGAAGTTGTCCACTTTCCTGGAACATGCAGATTGGTATTCTGGGTCAGATAGAAGCAGAGGGCACTTCTGAAGAGATGAGGAATTCAAATCACCAATAAACTCACAACTGTCAGATATTTTATCAGATTTGCTATCAGCCACAACAACTGTATTGTTGCTATCAATGCCTGCTGAGCATCCATCTGTGTTCCGGAAGTTTAAGTCATCTTCACGCCCAACCAATCTAGGAGTTGTATTTTGAACATAATATTCAGCTTCGTATTCAACTTCGAATTCAGCAGGAAAATCAGTCATGCTTGATTCTCTGAAAAACTGATACTTGCATGGTTCATATCTTTCAAGAGGTAATACATATGCAACCACACTTGAACCCATGCATCCTTTATCCATTTTTTTGATTTCCAAAGGAACATCGAACTCCCTTGCGATTGCTGGACCATCTCCCGGTGAACATCTCTGAACATCAAACGAACATCGCCTTGCAATTTCAGTGAAACTTTCACGCACTTTGTGTTGAATTCCACTGGTGCAAGGCTTGACTGAATCAGTTCCATTACCATGCTCCTCCAGGTGAACATCTCTAAACATCAACCGAACTAACCAAGGACTAAAGAAGGAACCTCGATGTGATTGACTATGGATACTTGAACATGGCTCTTCCGGGTAGCTTGTGACTGACAGAGGCCCGAACGATGGCCACGGGCTAGGCCTGAAGATGGATCCCATGTGATTGAACCTCCATGGTTGATGTTCGAAGGAAGGCGGGTGCAGATGCTCAGCGATGGGAGTGTCATGTGTCTCGTCGG